AAAAAAAAAAAAAAAACAAAACAAAACAAAACAAAAACCCAGTTCTACTTAATGTTCTTTGAGTAAAATACTGAACCAGGGCAGCAACAAAAATAAAATATCTTTCATATTAAAAACATCAAGTAGAATTCCTGATTTGTCAAAAATAGTTTACTTAGTTTTCTTCTTAAAATCAGGAAACTGGGGGCCGGGTGCGGTGGCTCACGCCTGTAATCCCAGCACTTTGGGAGGCCGAGGTGGGTGGATCACGAGGTCAAGAGATCGAGACTATCCTGGTCAACACGGTGAAACCCCGTCTCTATTAAAAATACAAAAAATTAGCTGGACATGGTGGTGCATGCCTGTAATCCCAGCTACTCAGGAGGCTGAGGCAGGAGAATTGCCTGAACCCAGGAGGTGGAGGCTGTTGTGAGCCGAGATCTCACCGTTGCACTCCATCCTGGGTAACAAGAGCAAAATTCCGTCTCAAAAAAAAAGGAAACTGGCATTTATAAGTTACATACATTAAGAGTTAAAACTATAAATCTACTTTCAATTTATTTTGATGTTTTGTGCTTGAGATGAATCAAAGCAAAATGACCTGTGAACTTGTTACAGATTTTTATTGCATTTTAACTACTTAGCTTTAACTTACTTGTTTAACAATTTTTGCTGCATCTGTATTTCTCCTATAAAATATTTCCTTGTATTCATCCATCCAGACTTCTGCAAGGCGAACTTGGTTTCTAGCAATCACCTGAGTGCCTTTTGGAAAGCTATGAGGGCTTTTGCTGCGAAAAACATGTCCAACAACAGAGCAAGGCATAATCTCCAACTGCCCACCACATTGCCATACCTGATAATTAATGATATTTGTTTAAATTTACAGTATTTTAGAAAAATCAGTGTTGCTTTTAAGTTCACCTTTAAGATACTAAAAACAAAAATAGAGAAGAGATTACAATATTAAAAATAGTCTCTGTCCCCGGCCATTTCAACTTAAGTTCTTAAATATAAGGAATGATTTTTATTAAATGGTATAGGCACCAAAGATAAAAGAAGTGCATTTTCAGCAAGTTAACAAAATGATGGATCTGGATTTTTCATAACAATTAATTCCAGGTGGTTTTTTTGCAAGTAATTATGTAAGTTCTCTAATATACACAGAAAACTAAAGGTTCTTATGCATTTGACTTCTGTCTGAACTACTTACATAGTCACTTCACTTAAACTAGAGTTTCTCTTCTAAGCTTAGGTTTAAGTGGACTCAGACCCTATTACCTCTTATATATTCAATTTTGTAACCAAGAAAAACAATTCTGGATAGCCATTATTACCAATGACCATTCTATTGAACTTGTGAAGTAGTGGATGATTATTTAAAAATTTATGCTATTTAGAGAGAAAATGTAAAAAACAAACAAAAAAAACAAACAAAAAAAAAACACACACACCATTATTTGCATTAATTCAAAATGAAATAGCAAATCATGAAATCAATGGTTTTTCACTTAAATATCTTAACAATTGACTCTGCCATAGTCACCAACCAAAGAATCTGAAAATAAGTCATATTTAATAGTGTATGCTAGCAGTAGAGCAAGTGATCACATTGTCTTTATCTACTTTCTTTCTTGAACAAATGAGAAGACTCAGTTCAACTCAGCAAACTGTGCTTGTGACCCAACATGTGCTAGGGGTTGGAAATACTGAAATGAATAAACAAGACCACTGCCACAAGCAGTTCAAACTTGGCTAAGATCATCACTGCTGGTACGTGATGGAGCAAGCCAGAGCCAGATCTTAAATCTTCTAACTTCTACCTAGTTCAGTTCTTTTTCCACTACATTCCAGCCTAAGAGATGAAAAATGAATGATAAAGTTACTGCAGAAAATGAAACATGAAATCAAATAAATAAGGTACTTATGGAGACTATCCAAAGCCTTCTTTTATATATTAATTTATATATAGAAAAAAATCCAGCTCTTCCAATCCAAACGGTTAAGTCCAATGTCCTTTAAAATTATACATAAATGTTTTTCCATTCTAACTCCCTTGATAACTCATTTCCTGAAGCACTAGATTTAATTATATTTATCTTGGCTGGAATTCAGTAGTTACAAGTGCATTAATTGGTGTTATTGCCTGGACACAGGAGTTTAAGTGATTCCTCTTGTTACATTGGCAACAATGAATACATATATTAAGTTACATGTTAAAATATTCTTATTCCAAAATTTCTAGCAATTAAGTTTTAGAAAGCACAAAAAGTAGAGTGCACACATCTGTAATCATCTGTACCAGCCAATTAGAACACAATATATTTTATTGTTTAATATATCTGCTATATTTAATTTCCATAAACTTACTCTGAAAGACATTTCTATATTTTCACCTCCCCAGATTTCCATTTCTTCATCATAGCTTCCAATATACTCAAAATATTCTTTTGATATGGAAAAAAGTCCTCCTGCAAAAGTAGGTGTTCTGAAAAATAATCCATTGTCAAATTTTGTTATAAAAACTAAACAAGATAAAACAGCATATTTTAAGAACTGAATCAAATTCAAAAATTAAAGCCACATCACATTTTCAAAGTTTTTATACTGTACAGATTAATAAAAACTAGAAATGCTAGCTTCAAAGTCAAGATTTTTGGAGTGGTGAGGAGTACTTCATGTCCTCTCCCATTGGGGCAAAATTAAATGTCTTCTCCTAACCACGCTTCAAGATTCTTAAGTAATGATTGATGAGGAAGACCTAAGAGTTCACTTATTGCTACCTCTTACTAAGCAACATCATGTGTAAGTAAGTCCATAAATGAATGACTTTCAGATTCTCTTTATATAGAATGTGTGTGTTCTTTATCAATTATCTCAGGGGCAATTGCTGTAAAGCAGAGTGTGTACATATTCAATGTAAGTAATCATCTTACTTAATTGGGTAGGTTTCATCTTTCCTTCTTTGCTTCTCATGATCAGGAAGTGATTCCCAGCCAAATGAAAGACTCCAGTCAAAATTTCCACGGTTGTGGTGACTTCCATAAGGAGAAGGTTTGTTGAATTCAAAAGTATTCAGATCTATGGATGCAATATCTGGACTCACGACAGCAGTGTAGTTCTCAGCTATTCTGGCCAACAAAGGTTCTAACCAACCATAGAAACACTCACCTGGAGGGAACAGAATTTTAATTAATTCAATACAAACATTGAATGTGTTTTCTTTAGTTGTTTAGGCGAAGGTTTGCAGATAAATGAAAATAACAGAATCATTTGTGTTTTGAACATGTATATAATGGAGATTTCTTTCTTCCTCAGATTTATTGAAATATAAAAGACAAATAAAAATTCTATATATTTACAGTGTATAGCACAGTGTTTATATATGTATACATTGTAAAATGATTATTACAATCAAGCTAATTAACATATCCATCACCCTATTGGCTTATGAAGTGGGTGGTAAGAACATCTAAGATCTACTCTTAGCAATTTTCGAGTAGACAATACATTATTATTAATTATAATCACCAAGTTGTACAACAGATCTCCAGAAGGAAAGATTTCTTAAAGGTTTCTTGAGATGAGATAAGGGTAGGATGAAAAAGTTGAAACAAGATTCAATACAGTTAGAAAAACTCCCCTACAGATGACGACCTTCTTTCTTCTACAAAATATGCAAAATAACACTAGTGTATTTAAAGTTTAGATGACAAGTTGAAATGGCCTATGAATCAAAGGTAGCTTTTTGCTGTTCCATGTCACCTGGCCCTAAACGTGTTCTGATTTATTTAAACATGTATCTCCCTGAGTAAGGTACAGTAATTGAAATCTTCATTTATCTGACTGGGTCTTAGGAGAAAGTAAGTAGTCAGTATAAATTCTGATTTTAACAAATGGAGAAGAAGGATGATTCAAAGCTGCCCCAGACCTACTATAAAGATAGGGCAAAGGAGTTCCATACCATGATAGGTCTGGGTCCTGGTCACAGGCCAGGCTATTTTACATAATACACAGCAAGTTTGGACAATTCGTGTGCAGTCCCATTCTGGGCTCCCCACAAAGCAGAATTTAGAAGTCATGGTCCAGAAGGACCATCAGACACATTCACCCAGTGTGGAAGAATGTTCAGTATGATCTTGTTGTAATTTTGGACAAGGAGAATAAATACCAGAGGATGGTATTTTTCTTTTTAAAACACGTCTCTAGGATTACCTTTAGTCTTCTCTTCATTTTCGAAATGTCTGGTGTTGAGAGAGAACTGAATGTGATGGCTCTAAGCAACTCAAGCACATCCAAAAGCCCTTCTGTAATAATCGGTATGTGCTCAAAACCAGTTATTGGGTGAAACATAACCTAAGCACTGGCCAATTCAAAGCTAGACACTCATACAGAGTATCGCCCACTAAACTCAAAGCTCAAGGGACAAAAAAAAAAAAAGCTCGAGGCACTAAATGACATTTTAGTAATACCTAGCATGCATATGATACATTGACTCTGAAAATGCTTTCTAAATGCTTTAAATACTTTGACTCTGAAAAAAAATTAAAGTACAAAGAAAAACCAACAGCAACAAAGTCAAACAAAAATTGACAATGTTTATGGAAGAGATAACAAAGATGTTGGAATGGTACACCCCTAACTTGGCATACAAACTATATATATAAACATATTTTGGTTTTGTGGGTTTTTTTGAAAATTCGCAGACTCCTTTTTATGCCAAGGAGTCTGCAATTTTTTTGAAAAAACACAAAAACTAAAATATAAAAATTAAAAGCAGCAGGACTAGGACAAAGTTTAATGATAGGGTGGTTTACATTCATTCATTCATTCATTTTGAAATGGAGTGTCACTCTGTTGCCCAGGCTAGAGTGTAGTGGCACAATCTTGGCGCACTGCAACCTCTGCCTCCTGGGTTCAAGCAATTCCCATGACTCAGTCTCTTTAGTAGCTGGAATTATAGGCACATGCCACCATGCCGGGCTAATTTTTGTATTTTTAGTAGAGATGGGATTTCACCATGTTGGCCAGGCTGGTCTTGAACTCCTGATCTCAAGTGATTCACCTGCCCTGACCTCTCAAAGAGCTGGGATTACAGGCATGAGCCACCATGCCCAGCCATATTTAAATATTAAATAAGCTTTCACTCACTTTAAAGTGTAGGAATCAAGAAAAAAAAAAAAGAGGCAAGGATAACTGGCTGGAACAGCTAGTAACTGGAGAATATTAAAGTTGAGAAAACTTAAGCACAAAGGAGGTAAGAATTCTATGTAAGTGAAAGGAATTTTCTCTGCAGAGCTGCTATCTGCTTGAGCTGTCATTGCTATAATCACGAGTTGAAAATGCTGTGAAAGAAAATGCAATTAGGCATTTAGAAAAGAAAAGCCTTCCTTACCTTTTAAATTAGAGGGAGAGGGAGGAAAAATGTTACAACCATACATATATACTTACAGTGAGCATCTAAAAATGTGAGCGTTTCAGCTGTTGCGACTGATGCTCCTAGCAACCGAGCAGTGATCAGACCTTTTCTTTCTCTTTGTCTGACTATTTTTACTATAGAAAACTGTTTTACATATTCATCTAGTTTATCATGTAAGTACTCTGTAAAGAAAAAAAAATCAGGATTAACTCTTTCTAAATTTATTTCATATATAGCATATGAAAGCTAATGAAACCACAGAGCAATGATCCTTCCAATTTCATAATCGTTAACAGTTACATGTGTCCTTCTAGTAAGATGAAAATTTTATCTTTATTCCTTACTGGGGAAAAGGCTATCTATGCAAATTATCACTACTGTAACACATACTGATTCTGTACACTTCTTGTCAACAAATATTATGTGTTTGGAGGGAAGTGAGAAACTTCAAATGGAGTGAATGCTAGTCATTAAGAAGACTCATTTAGAGGTCTGAGAAGACTGGCCACAAGAGTGAAAGAAATGGAACTTAGCCAAAAAGATATTCACTGCTTTGAAATTGATATTTAAATCTGGAAATCTTAAATTAAAATGTCAAATATCAAAAGATCTCTGATATTTAAGCAAGGATCAAAATAATTTGAGACCAAAATGTTGAGACAAGTCAGAAAGTCCAAGGCTATAGCAGTCTGGGACTATTCCTACGCAGAGTCAGCAGAAAAATTTGTGAAAGCTTTGGAGTCTCCTGACAGATTTTTTTCTGGTAAAAATATGAAACAGGTAAATTTTAGTATTGGATATATTCTTTAATTCAATGTCCCAAATTGGATGAGGTTTGTAATAAGCAAAAGTTGAGATCACAGGTTTTTTAAAAAAGTTATTAACGAATATCAATCAAGTGTTGTTTTTTGTTTGTTTGGTTTGTTTTAAGACAGTCTTGCTGTGTCGCCCAGGCTGGAGTACGGTGGCACAGCTCACTGCAAACTCCACCTCTGGGCCGCAAGTGATTCTCCTCAGCTTTCCAGGTAGCTGGAACAACAGGCGTGCGTCAACACGCCCAGCTAGTTTTTTTTGTTGTTGTTAAGAGACAGGGTTTCATCATGTTGCGCAGGCTGGTCTGCAACTTCTGAACTTAAGCTATTTGCAGGCCTCAGCCTCCCAAAATGCTGGGATTACAGGGTGAGCCACTGCGCCCAGCTGTTAAACAATTTCTTAAGCCTCCTTTCCACAATTAAATTTTTGATTTCCTATTGAGTATAAAATTCATCAAGTTCAGTTCCTTAAGCAGCCTTCTTGGGCCCAAAACATAGCCTCGAAAAGATTTAGGACTATTAAGAAAATCCGTAAAAGTCCTGGGGTAAAAGTTTGTTTCTGCCAGATTTTAGAAGTGAATGTCTATGACTTTATCTGTGATAATATGTGCTTTTTTCCCCAATTCTCCAGTGGTTCAGATAAGAGAGCTGCTTATTTAAAGCTTAAACATTCATAAGAGAGTTTAAGTCCAGGAACACACTTGGCGGAAAAATAAATCTATCTAAACACTGTTGTCTCAGAGCAATAGATCAACTTTTTAACACCTTCTAACTAGTTCAAAATAATTACCAGATTAACTGTTTAACACCTTCTAGCTACCTCAATAATTCTCAGAAACACAAACAGAATTGTAATAAGTCTTAAAAAATACAATCATAACTATTTTCTGTTTTAAGAGACTTGTAAAAATTTCCACATCCTTGATTAGAATTATTTTAAATGGAGTTACTACAGATTCCTTCAATATACCCTCTCACTGTTGGAATTTGTAAAAAAAAAAAAAAAAAATTTACTTACAGCATATGAACTTCCTGCAAATTCTTATCTGCACCCTAAATTTAACTCCTATGTACACCCTTTATTTGGGAGGTTAAGAACAAAAAGCTACATGAAATCAGATGCCCTGATTTCACTTCGTGGCACAAATACTTTTAGCTGCGTGACCTTGGGTGAGGTATTTTACCTTTTCTGCACCTCAGTTTCTTTAAGATGAGGATAATAGGACTTACCATCACAGTCAATTGCTGGAAGGATAAAATGAGACATCTGACTCCAAACTTGGATTTATTAAGGAATAAATTTTATAATCATTGAAATAATCTGTATCTGTTTGATATAATGTTTAAAATACTTATGATGTTTGAAAATTTAGCAAGTTACAGTATTTGTTAAATTAGCCTTGCGATTCCAATTTAAATTGTGTAATTTAGTGGTAATGCACTAAAGAATTTGGGTAACATTATAAATAATATCTTGGAATATTTAAGAACACCCAATAAAATAGAACATGGTGACTCTTTAGTGATTTTTAACTATTCATTTATATTATTTATTGATATATTTATATTAACCCATTTGGTCTTTAAAATAACTCTAGAAGTTATGTACGAGTGCTGTATTTCCTCAGTTTTAAACTACACCATTAGATACTTCTTACAATCAATGGCATGTTAACTTTTCTTAGCTGTGGGTTTTCTCCTAGTGATTTATAAATTAATGACACATAATATATTTGATTTAATATGGTATTATTCCCAGTTTTACTGATAAAAAAAAAATCACGGCGGAGGTTGAGTAATGTGCCCAAGTTATATAGTTGGTTATGAAAACAGCTGCAATTCAAATCAAGGCAGCCTGACTCCAAGGCTCAAGTCTGCTCTTAACCACTGTGCCTTACAACAACAGTCTCACACTGAGGACTACAGAGTTACGAATGATTGTGTTTTATACATTTCTGCATTTGAAGATATTTGAATACGTCCATCCTTAGATTCTAATTTCATTCAGCATACTTACTATTCAAACTTTTATTATTCAAGCTCTGAGATGGCATAGAGAGAGCACCATATAACAAGTGGACTTTAGATACCACCATATGGATTTATTTGGGAAACAATCTAATTTGCATGAGCTTTCTTACCATCTACACTAGCATCATCCACCAAAATGATTTCCTTCAGCAGTACTGCAGGTGAAGAGTAGAGCACACTGTGGACAGTTCTAAGCAATGTGGACCATGCTTCATTATGAAAAACTATTATGACACTGGTGGTGGGCAGGGGAGGGCAGCGCTTAAATTTTTGTTCAATACATCTAGAAGTCAAAGAAGTAGAAAATAATTACAAATTTTATTATTTTATTTCACAGTTATACCATTGCTAACATTATCATTATTTAATCTTTATCACTGAAAAACGATAGTTTTTTCTATGAGATAATCTTCATGCCATATAAAATGTAAATAGATCAAAACAAATTTTTTATAAGCAACAGACTCACTCAGAGATGACGTCCACCAACAGGGATTACAACATAGCAAGAATTATAACATGTTATTGTAAGCTTTCTCAACAATATAATTTTAAATACAAGTAACACTTTAAATAATGAAAATAACCTACAATAGACAGCATGTAGAAATGACAAATCCAGGCCGGGCATGGTGGCTCAGGCTTATAGTCCCAGCACTTTGGAGGCCAAGGTAGGAAGATTGCCTGAGGTCAGGAGTTTGAGATCAGCCTGGCCAACACGGAGAAACCCCGTCTCTACTAAAAATTAAAAAAAAAAAAGGAGAAAAAAAAAAAAAAAAAAAAAAAAAAAAAAAAAAAAAAAAAAAAAAAAAAAAAAAAAAATCCAAGCATAGTGGTACGTGCCTGCAATCCCAGGTATTTGGGAGTCCGAAGCAAGGGAATTGCTTGAACCAGGGAGGTGGAGGTTGCAGTGAGCAGAGATCGCACCACCACACTCCAGGCTGGGTGACAGAGTGAGACTCCATCTCAAAACAACAACAACAACAAAGACAAATCCTTATAATTGCTCAAATAAAAACCAAGTTTTTCTTCTTTCATGCAGAAATCTTCCATTTTTCATATTTGCAACTTTAAAACTTGTACTACTTTACTGAAACATTTTTATAGAGATTATCTTTAATTAGATACTTTCCTAAGTATGTAATATAGGTTTCTTAAATATTTTCTAGGTTTTTTGAATCAATTTACTTGATCTGTATACATAACCAAAAAGAAAAAAAATAACTTTACTGTAAAATCTATGTTCTTCTTATGATTATTATTTAAAATACAGATAGCCTTGTGATGTTGCCCAGGCTGGACTTGAACTCCTGGCCTCAGACCATCTTCCTGCCTCAGCCATCCATAATATTGGGATTATACGTGTTAGCCATTATGTTCAGCCTAAACCTAAGTTTTTATGATGTTTATCATTCAGCAAATACTTAAGTACTGCCATTTGCCATGTGTTATATTAAAGATTTTGCTCCAATCATTTGATCTACTGTTTAATAAGACCAGCATTTAAAAAATCATTTTAAAAAACATACATAGAAATAAAGATCTAAATAAAAACCTAAATCCATGTTAAAATTCCTGTGCTGCTATCACCATCTGAAACATTGATTGGGCACAGGGAGAGAGACTCTAAGTACCCCTGACTAATTAGTGGTACTATCTATTAGCTAAAAACATTAGCTTTAAATTGATCTCAAATTCATTCTTTATAGTAATGTCTTTCCTCAATGAAAAAAAAATCTTCATATTAAGCCACTGGGATGTAGGTAAGTCTGTATAGTCTCTAGGCTTTGAGGCTAGAAATGTAGAGCTAACCACAGTTCCAAGCCTGCTGAATTGAGGTAAAGATTAAATGAAAGAACACATAGGAGAGGGCTCCAAATTACTGAGACATAGAATAAAACTGTGTAGTTTATGGGGAAAATAAGCAAATAAAGCAACTATATCTTTAAGGCCACTTAAAAATAATAAATGGCTGTACAGTTTTGGACCACAGACTACGAAATTCTCCCATACAGTCAAAAGGCACAGTAAATTCAGTGTGTGAACAATTAAAACAGTGCTGCTCAAACACAAAGGAAGTAAATCATTTACTCATGGAGATAAGAGTCCAACACACTTCAGTTGCTCTGCCAGGGCCAATAGGGAAACTGTAGCCTCTAGTGTGATATTAGAAGCCTGAGAAAACCACCCTTAAAAAGATCCACAAATTATCCCATTAATTATTTTCATGGTTATACCTCAACTGGAATGTCTCTGAGACCCTTTTCTAACAGCAAGTCTTTAAAATGGAATATTTGTAGTGATAAAAAAAGGAGCTGGACTGGAGTAAAATAACAAGAGAAGATGTCAACAACAGAGTAGAAAAAGGAGAGGATGCGTTCTGAGTGACAGTGGCATTACTCTTCAGTTTCTTCATGATTTCAAAGCATGATACAGGTGCACGAGCAGAAAAGTAATAAGCGCCTTCTTTGTCATTCACAAACAAAAGCAAATTATTTATTCTATTTTTGGATAAACTACCAATTTTAAAAAAGCTCAATCACAAACTATTCATATACATACCTGAACTACAATTACACAGAAACAAATGACTAAATATAAGCTTATATTGTGAACCCATAAAAGTTTATAACTAACATCAACTAGAAATAAAAGTTCCATAATTTTTTATTTTTAAAGAAAAAAAAGAGGAAATTCATGATTTGTTATCTTATAAGCATTTTCAGGAGAAAGTGAAATTCTGAGTTTAAGATTTTTTTCTACCTTTACTTGCTATGGAGTTAATATAGTATTTATTAATCAAGAATTATAAAACGGTTTTGAAGATTTAAAGTATAAAATTTCACAAAAATTTACACTAATAAAATGTTACCACTTTAATCTTGTAAGATTTTTCATCAGTTTAAACTAGGATTTATTTGCTTAACTGTTAATTACCAATATCAAGTAAAAGTGTCATGTTATATCATTAATACAAGTAATAAAATTTCACAATATGATCTCAAAAACGTCGTTCATTTTGAAACAATTGACATGTTAAATGCATACTTTGAAAATTGTTTTACATATTTAAAGTAGTGCAATTAAAATAACTTGCCAAAGTGACTGTATAATTTCAGTCAAACCATATGAAAAACCTGGCATATAGAAACATGCTTAAATTATCAGTCACATGACCATCTGGCTTTGGAAGAAACTAGATCTATATTTCTAATGAGCATGGAAAACATTAGCAATTCTTCAGAAAACCCATTCTTTGCTGATATTGGTTATAGTCAAAGTAAAAAACAAATCTTTACCACCTGTACAAAATCCTGTCCAAAGTAAGAAATAATTAAATCTTCAACACTAACCAAAAAATGTTGTTAATGTGCTTAGCTGCTTTAAACTTACTTAGTGATTAACATTACTGAAAATTATTACAGCTTCTCAATGCTATCTTGGGGGAAAAAAAGCTCATTTTGAGCTAGCATTGATTGTCATGTCAAAAGAATAAAAGTCATGATTATTGATTTTTAATGTAGATTACTTTTCGGTCAAAACCTTTCCCCAAATCAGTCAAGTGCAATACTGCATTATAATCTATTAATATATAAAAGGAATTATAATGTGCCTTGTTATAACATCTGGAATATTTCATAGTTTCTTTATACATTCATTTAAAATTATGACCAACTTAAACTTGAATCAATCAGATTAGAATAGCGCAACAGTTCAGGTTCACTGCCAGATGTAATTCTCTAATAACCAGAAAGCAAAATATATAGGCACTGTTTGTTTACAGTTTGTCTTTTACTGGGTTTTTTTTTACTGGGTTGTTTGTTTGCTTGTTTGGTGGTTTTTGTTTGTTTGTTTTAGACAGGGTATCCTTCTTGTACTGTCTTGTACTCTTAAAAATCTACTGAGGGGCCAGGTGCGGTGGCTCACACCTGTAATCCCAGCACTTTGGGAGGCCAAGGTGGGCAGATCACCTGAGGTCAGGAGTTCAAGACCAGCATGGCCAACATGGTGAAATCTCATCTCCATTAAAAATACAAAAATTAACAAGAGATGGTGCTGTATGCCTGTAGTCTCAGCTACTCAGGAGCCTAAGGCTAGAGAATCGCTTGAACCTGGGAGGTGGAAGTTGCAGTGAACAGAGATCGTGCTATTGCACTTCAGCCTAGGCAACAGAGAGAGACTCCATCTCAAAAAATAATAATAATAATTAATAAATAATCTACTGAGGAAGGGCCAGGTACAGTGGCTCACACTTGTAATCCCACCACTTTGGGATGTTGAGGCAGGTGGATGACCTGAGGTCAGGAGTTCAAGACCAACCTGGGCAACATGGTGAAAACTCGTCTCTACTAAGAATACAGGAAAAATAGCTGGATGTGGTGGTGGATGCCTGTAATCCCAGCTACTCGGAGGCTGAGGCAGGAGAATCGCTTGAACCTGGGAGGTGGAGGTTGCAGTGAGCCAAGATGGCACCTCTACACTCCAACATGGGCAACAAACTGCTCCATCTCAAAAAAAAAAAAAAAAAAAAAAAAAAAAAAAAAAAAAAAAAAAAAAAAAAAGTCTACTGAGGACTTGATGGTGCTAGGATTCATTTTAGCCATATCAGCTCAAATACAGCATTTGGCCTTTACCTCCCAGACTAGAAAAAAATAAAAAGGTTAACTAAGGACAAAGAGACAGCATAACAGGACCTGGGGGAAATATTAGTCAAAATATTGTATACTTGAAACAGGTAAACAAAGTAACTGGATTAAAAAAAAAAAAAAGTTAGCCTCTCAGTAGCTAAAGGAAGACAACTTTATGGATATGAGAACTTAACAAAACTCTAGAGACAGAATCATACTTGTAATAGTAATTGTAACAATATTCTCCTTTAAAAGAATGCTTACAAAAAATAGGGCATTCTGAAATATAGTTATACACTCAAAGGCTTTGAGTCAAAGTAATCACAAAGTCTGAGAACTGGTTTACAAATCTATAAAATATTATCCAATAGCTCCAAAATCCTGGCATATTTTTAAGCATTTCTATTATATAGAAATACACAGAGAAATGGAAATAATTCCTCTACCTTTTGTATTTCCCATAAAAATTATCCAATAATTCCTCCTAAATAAGTGACAAAACCACAGTATTTAGGACTAAAGGATTTCCTTGCAGATAGCAGTCATATCTATAATTCAGTTTTCCAATTTCCAAGCTAATAATTTTTCATGTCTGTACTGCCTCACCAAGCATAAATAGGGTTACGTAGCCTCAATCATTATAAGCAAAAAATAAATACAACAGGTTAAATAAACAGTATTTGTTGAGTTTCTGCCTTAGAGAAGCTAAAGAACAGGCAATTTCCTTAGCTAACTCCTTTCTCCCCTGCAAAGCCTGGTGATAAAGAATAAACAATAAATATTCTTCAACATACTCAGGAGGTCGAGTGTCTGGTCCAAGATCTCGGTGCAAAGAAATCCTGTCACTTGCAAAAGCATTAAAGCAGTGTTTAGCTTCCCCACGTTCCTTTTCCTTTTGTTCTTCAATACTTAAATTGGTTGTCTTGAATGCTTTACCAGAAGCACCAGGTGCATTTGAATCCTGAGGTGGACGGTCAAGAACAGGCTTCAATTCTGCTGCTGTATAATATCCTTGCAAACAGGGTCTCTCACCAACATCAATGTTTTGCCTGACAGGTGCTCCTATTTGCATTTTTGGCATTGCATCCTTAATATTGTTTACAGCTTCTAACATTAAATCCAACATCTTATTTTTGCTTTTCATGTTTCTTTCCATCCTTGATTCCTCTTTGGAATATTGAACACTTACTTCTCTTTGCATTAAAACCAAAACTATTATAAAGAAAAAAATTACTGCACCAAGCTTCCAGAACGTTTTATGGTAATGTCTCTTAATGTGTAATTTTACTAGTCGCTTTAGGTGAGCCATTCTGACATTAAATGCTTGTCACTTGACAAATAATAGTTACGATTTCTTCCGTTACTTATATTTTTTATCATAGATTTGCTAAGAAGGTATCTTTAAATGGCCATACCTGTAAAAAGAAATGATAGATGGTATTAGTAGTTATTCAGTCCCACAGGCATGGCTCAATTCATTCACTTATCCAACAACTGAACATAAGCTACCAACATACTCCTTATGGTTAACAAGAATGCAAAAATATCTTGTCCTCAAGAAAATTACACTTTCAGAAGAAAATAATTGTTACAATTTACAGTTTATTGGGGCTGCAAAAATTGATATTCCTCTCCATTAAAAATACATTCTTTTTAAACTCTAATATCCACTATACACTGTGTATAAAATTACTTTAATAAATATATTTTGAGTTGAAAAAGAATATCTTCACTTCATAACCAAGGAATCAAAGGACTTTATTAGATGAATTACAAAAAAGAGAGCTCCATAAGGAAGCAAGAGTATCTTGATGGTACTATCAGGTATCCATCTAAAATAGTGGCCTTCATTTTATGTAGTTTACCCTCAAACTATGATCTACTCCAGCTTAACCAATTATGATGATACAGCCATTTCATCAATAAGTAAACTATCATTATCGCATATTTTCTGACCCAATAGTACTTGTGAATCCTGAAAGAATCCCTAAAAACAAGAAAATCAAGAGTATTTAATTTGTTATTATAGAACAGCTATTTTTAATAGCTCACACCAATACACAATCTCATAGCAAAAAGAAAATTCATTAGCTTTACTTGAGGTATCTCTAGAGAGCCTATAGAGGTCCTTAGGTTAAAAAAGCAGAATTCAGTTTGATAAAATATTGCTTGCAATTCATTGACCCAAATAACAGGACAGCAAGTTTACTAAACCCTAATATGCACCAACAGGAGCAAAGGAAAAGAAAAATAGGACTTTTCAGGAAATGATTACTTACTATGAGCCATGATAGCCAGTCAAGAAATTTACAGGGGCAACCGGGAAGGAAAATGTCTGTTCTTCCTAAGGCCTAAACATATTTTAAGTAAGATATCATTTATAGCAAAGAAAATTAACTTTGATACCTTATTCAGCTTATCTTCCAATGTTCTCACAAAATTTGAAATAAGAAAACCAGGTTCTCAGATGTATTCTCTGGCTTTTGGCAGGAAATTTTAAGCAGAATAAACAAAATTGGCAGAATATAGTTCCATATAGTATGTCTAATTGGAGTGCCCTATATTCTTTTCAGTATGAAGTGGAGACTTCGGCTCCAAAATATAACCCCAATTCTGACATATATTGCTCATAAAAGTGAGATTCCAGTATTTGAGTGTGGGTTGCTTTAAGAACTTCATGTAAAAAATGAAATGACTGCTTAAGCATTTCACTTTGAAAAGAATGTAAGAAGTTACAGGACCACACAATGACCGTTGTGCATCAAATGTTGTGTAACGCTGTAGCTACAAAATAAAAGATAGCCCTTACCTTCAAGAAGCAGAATTGAAATATAGGAGGTCAAAGGGCAGCCACAAAGGAGAGCGATATGTGCTATGACAGGAGACTAAGGAAGCTACACAGCCTGGGAACAATGGCTCACAGCTATAATCCCAGAACTTTAAAAAGCTGAGACCAGAGGATCTCTCGAGACCAGGATTTTGAGACCAGCCTGGGCAACATAGCAAGACCTCATCCTACAAAAAAAAAAATACAAAAATTAGTCAAATGTGGTGGTACATGCCTGTAGTACTAGCTACACAGGTAGCTGAGGTGGGAGGATGGTTTAAGCTCAAGAGATTCCGGCTGCAGCAGGCTGTGATTGTGCCACTGCACTCCAGCATGGGTAGCAGAGCAAGACTCTGTCTCTTTAAAAAAAAAAAAAAAAAAAGTGACATAGAGGGTCAGGAGAAATGTTAAGGAAAATTTCCCAAAGATGACACTGTTGAGCAGAATCTTGAAATACAAGTAAATTTTGGGCAGGTAGACAGGAGGGAAAATAGAGAGGGAATGTCAGATGCAAAAGCATAAAAGCAAGAAAAGGCATGGTCAGTCCTTGAGTACAGCAGAAGCAGAAGGCACAAGGAGAGAATGACAACTGATGTGGCCCAAAGGTCAGTTAAGGATTTGCCCATAAAAAGCCCTGTACATCTTTCAGTGAATTTGGAATTTATCAATTTTGTCCCAAATGGATGGAATGGAGTGAACTGTTTTTAAGAAAACATCATAATCAAATTTCTGTTTTAGAAAAATCACAAGATGATAGATATTAAAGAGGTTAGGGGGGCCAGAAGATGGAGTGTAATGATTTCCAGAGAGTCCAGGAAATGTAACCAAACAATAAGACTTGGTGAGACAAAGGGATGAATGGTGCTATGGTTTGGCTATGTCCCTACCCAACTCTCACCTTGAATTATAAAAATCCCCATATGTCAAAGGCAGGGCCAGATGAGGATAATTGAATCATGTGTATGGTTTCCCACCCCACCCCACTGTTTCTCATGATCATGGATAAGTCTCACAAGACCTGATGGTTTTATAAATGGGAGTACCCCTGCACATGTTTCTCTTGCCTGCCACCATGTAAGACGTGCCTCTGCTCATCTTTCACCTTCTGCCATGATTGTGAGGCCTCCCAATTCATGTTAAATTGTGAGTCCATTAAACCTCTTTTTCTTTATAAATTACCCAGTCTCTGGTAAGTGTTTATTAGCAGCATGAGAACAGACTAATACAAATGAATAAAGTGATAACATTAACAAAGGCAAGAAATACAGGAAGAAAGATAGATTCAGGGTAGGTATTAGGGAGATAATTTGTTCAGTTTTGGACATAGCAAGTGTGATATGCTAATGGAACTTCCAAAGTGAGTTTGCATGAGCAAAAAGATATATGAGACTGGAAATTAGGAAAAAGCTCTGCAGTTGAGATGAAAATTTGAGTCAGTCTTTGGGTACAGAAGAGTTCATCTTCAGAGAATGTAAAACAAAGAAGACAGAGAAATACCTACATTTAAGGTTAGAAAAAAAGAGACAGACTGGAAACAAAGTTTAATTTTTCCAATCCTATAAAGAGGTGATATATATATATATATATAAAGACAAATGAAAACACAGATAAATTATCCATGTCAAGTGGAGATAATTTTAAAATCTTATCTCATGCTTGAGAGATGTTAAATGTGTAACAGTTGGTTGATCTTTAAAACTGAACTTCATTAGATCTGGCCTAAGGGGCTCTAGTGAAAAATGAAAAGAGAACCTTGGCAGAGAGAGTAGTGATAGTCATGCCTTAAAGATCTGAAGGCTTAGGACTCAGGGTACTTTCAGAATAATAGGGCAGCAACCTCATCTAAGGGGTTCCATCCAGGAAGATAAGAACAGGTAAAATGTTGGGGTCTCCCAGGAAAGCAGTTTCCAGTTGATGAACCACAACCTCATCTCCTTTAACTGTGGCTTGACAAAAGGCAGATATTCATCAACCTCTGTTTACCTCCATTCTGTTCCTGAGACAACTACCAAAAATCCACTTCCTCAAGGCTATCTAGTAATACTCATTTTTTTGTAACTAGAGGTAGGCTAAATTAGGAATCTGAGAAGGACTGAGCTGGTCTCCCTGAGATATTTTGACAGAGTATGAAAAAAGAGTTCAGAGTATGCACAGAACAGGAGCATATGACAGAACTAGATTCTTCCACAATAGTGATAGTTTTCCCAAAACATTTTATGTCAGAAATCATATTTGTGGCTAGGGTGGGAATTGAAAAGAATACAATTAATAAGGCAGACAGAAAAGAATTCTTTTTTAGGAATAAACAATAAACTAGAGGAATTCTTCATCAGCAGGACAGTAATCCTATCATTGTGAGTGCATGTGTATCTATGTAAAGACCCACTCAATTAGTAGGTTTTAGTTTGGAATGCTTCTAATAGAGGAGTCAAGGAAACTCATGAAAGACATGGATAGCATCTCTCTTATTCATGGCTGGTTTCCTGGCACATACCACAATGTTGGTAACATAGTATGCACTCAGAAAATTTGTTGACTAGAAAAAGGAAGGAGGACCAAGATTTCATCAGAATCAGCAACAAAAACAATAGTTAACTTGTGTTGAAAGTTGACTAGGTCCCTGGTATTAAATAACATTTAATACATTGTTCTGACTCTCCCAGCAATATTATGAAGTATTATTCTTTTTCTTTCTTTCTTTCTTTCTTTCTTTCTTTTTGTAGAGATGAGGTCTCGCTATGCTGCCCAGGTTGATCTTGAATTCCCAAACTCAAGGGATCCTCCTGCCTCAGCCTCCCAAAGTGCTGGGATTACAGGTATGAGCTACTACACCTCGCCCTTGTTATTCCAATTTTACTGACAGATATGGAGAGTGAAAGAGATTAAGTGGCTTGGCCAAGGCAGTTCAGTTTAAGACCAGGATTTTTTTCTGTGTTCAAACTTAGGTTCAATGTAAAATCCTGACCTTTTAACTAAAATTATCTAAAATAAAGTGTTTAAGAGTCAAGAACTGAAATCCTAAATATAAGGTAATAAGGAAGAAAACTGGTGAAAAATGATAAAAACTACAAGTAGCTTCCTATTGTTAAGTAATGTTTTAAGGATAAATGATTTTTAAAAACTGTTCAAAGCATCTTTTTAGAAATAAAGATTGACAATAAGGCTGTAGATCTTAAAATGGAAGATTGGGGGTTGAGAACCTTACAGAGGCAGAGTCTAGAAATGGGAAGATGTTTTGATCTTTTCAGGCTATTTCTGAAGAGATTAATCTTCTCTTATCAACCCTGATCACTTAAAGATTCCAACATTGATGGGATTTTTCATTATCACTTTTCTGTACTTTGCTGTTAATGTGAAATATTAGGCTTCCATTAATGCTGAATGACACTCAACATTAAGCATCTCCATCAGTTATCTTCAATTATGGGCACACTTTAGTAGAAAGCTCTTAAAAAAATAAAGTGCCTTAAGCTTTACCTCTGATTTAATTGGTGTAGGGGCAGGGCGTGTAGTCTGCTTTTGCTGTTACTTTAAGCTCTCCAGATAATTCTAATAAGCAGCAAGGGTTAAGAATTACTGATCTAAATCACAAGATTTTGGGCAAATCAAAACTAGCATCTGATAAGGGTGGTATCTGTCCAAAGGCAACCAGATTACTAATTTCTAATACTCCGAAGACAGGTGTTTCAAAATAGATTCCTGGTGTAAATGAATAGAAGTTATTTAGAAATGGAGAGATAAGGTAAAATCCAAAGTAAGAAAGACCCACAGTTTTCCAAAAAGACTCAAGGACTTATGCTGATATAAACGAGGCACTGAGGTTTCATTGCAAATTAAGATTCTGTAAATCATGTTATAAATATTCCAATCATAAAAATGGATAATTGAGACCTGAACAATAAAGGACATAAGCCAAAAGATATACAATAAATGAATGAGTAAAATGAAACCAGGATTCATAATTCCTTTTTCTGGGAATAATGCCATGTTCCTTGTTAGTACTACCTGCCAAATTTGAAGACCTATGTAAAGACCTCATGAAACAAAACAAATCTCTCCTACAGTCAACTTCCAGTGGGACTCAGAAGTTTGAGAACTGATAAGAAAAAAATCAGCACAACAGCAAACTCAGGAAATAACATGTCATATTTGCACATTGGAAATGATTAGCAGATAAAGGAATTGTTCTTCTTGTACTCTTTCTAAAACCTATCCAAGATGGCTATTTGTACTCTTTCTAAAACCTATCCAAGATGGCTATTTGCTAATTACCAAATATCAGACTCACAGTGGAAGAGAAGTCAAAAATCATGAAATAGTTTTTAAAAACTAAAAAAAAAATAAAATTCTAAATTCTTATGAATTTCTAAGAGTAAAATTCAGAGACTTGGTTTTAAAAATTAATTAATCTGTATCCTGATATATATGTAGACATTGTAAAAAGTCATTAATAAAAATATTCATAAAGTGAAAAGCTAAAGTAATATACACAATTTTTTTTCACTTTTTTTTTTTTAA